GAAGTCTCTCCATCCCAAGCTGCCGCCATCACATAAGAAGCCTCTCCATATTAGACTCCCGGCATCACATCAAAAGCCTCTCCGTGGCACCAGAAGCCTCTCCGTTCCCATCACAAGCCTCTCCATCCCAAGCTGCCTCTGTCCCATTACAAGCCTCTCCCTCCCATCAGAAGCCTCTCCATCCCATCAGAAGCCTCTCCCTCCCTTCAGAAGCCTCTCCATCCCATCAGAAGCCTCTCCATCCCATCAGAAGCCTCTCCATCCCATCAGAAGCCTCTCCATCCCATAAGAAGCCTCTCCCTCCCTTCAGAAGCCCCTCCATCACATCAGAAGTCTCTCCATCCCAAGCTGCCGCCATCACATAAGAAGCCTCTCCATATTAGACTCCCGGCATCACATCAAAAGCCTCTCTGTGGCACCAGAAGCCTCTCCATCCCATAAGAAGCCTCTCTGTCCCATCAGAAGCTTCTGCATCACATTAGAAGCCTCTCCATCCCAAGCTGCCTCCATCACATAAGAAGCCTCTCCATATTAGACTCCCCTCCCATAACATCAGAAGCCTCTCCCTCCCATCCAAACCCTTTTCGTCCCACCAGAAGCCTCTCCGTCACACCAGAAGCCTTTTCGTCCCACCAGAAGCCTCTCCGTCCCACCAGAAGCCTCTCCGTCCCACCAGAAGCCTCTCCGTCACACCAGAAGCCTTTTCGTCCCACCAGAAGCCTCTCCGTCCCACCAGAAGCCTCTCCGTCCCACCAGAAGCCTTTTCGTCCCACCAGAAGCCTCTCCGTCCCACCAGAAGCCTCTCCGTCCCACCAGAAGCCTCTCCGTCACACCAGAAGCCTTTTCGTCCCACCAGAAGCCTCTCCGTCCCACCAGAAGCCTCTCCGTCCCACCAGAAGCCTCTCCGTCCCACCAGAAGCCTTTTCGTCCCACCAGAAGCCTTTTCGTCCCACCAGAAGCCTCTCCGTCCCACCAGAAGCCTCTCCGTCACACCAGAAGCCTTTTCGTCCCACCAGAAGCCTCTCCGTCCCACCAGAAGCCTCTCCGTCCCACCAGAAGCCTTTTCGTCCCACCAGAAGCCTTTTCGTCCCACCAGAAGCCTGTCCGTCCCACCAGAAGCCTCTCTGTCCCACCAGAAGCCTCTCCGTCCCACCAGAAGCCTTTTCGTCCCACCAGAACACTCTCCGTCCCACCAGAACACTCTCCGTCCCACCAGAAGACTCTCTGTCCCACCAGAAGACTCTCTGTCCCACCAGAAGCCTTTTCGTCACACCAGAACACTCTCCGTCCCACCAGAACACTCTCCGTCCCACCAGAACACTCTCCGTCCCACCAGAAGACTCTCTGTCCCATCAGAAGACTCTCTGTCCCACCAGAAGACTTTCCGTCCCACCAGAAGACTTTCCGTCCCACCAGAACACTCTCCGTCCCACCAGAACACTCTCCGTCCCACCAGAACACTCTCTGTCCGATCAGAAGCCTCTCCGTCCCACCAGAACACTCTCAGTCCCACCAGAAGCCTCTGCATCCCATTAGAGGCCTGTCATTCACATCAAAAGCCTCTCCATGACATCAGAGCCCCCATGACATCAGAAGTCTTCCACATTACTTCCAAGCCCCAGAAGATCAGGGGCCCCATCAGAAGCGAAAACCAACCAATATGAATCCTCAGTCTGTGCATTGATATCGATACCGTGTCTGAGAATATGCCACGGATGCTTGCTGTGGGCCGGAAGTGGCCCCCTGGGCCGTAGTTTGGAGACCCCTGCGTTAAAACACCCACAAAGGTTTCTTGGCGTCTCACCTCAAACCTCGGCTGCTGGACCTGGAGCTGCTGCTGCTGCTGTGGATCCGCTTCCTGTAGCGCTGCCTCTTGCGCTGCTGTAACTGCATGGCCAGCTTGTAGTCGGAGATGATGTCCTTGATGTACGCCTCACACAGGGCAGATAATCGCAGAGTCATGCTGTAGATCTGACGACAAAACGTTAGGAGATTAGGAACAAACTGAGCGGACTTCATCAGAGGAGTGTCCTGCGGGAAGAGAACGCTACGGAGGGGGGGGAGAGAACGCTACGGAGGGGGGAGAGAACGCTATGGAGGGGGGAGAGAACGCTATGGAGGGGGGAGAGAACGCTATGGAGGGGGGAGAGAACGCTACGGAGGGGGGAGAGAACGCTACGGAGGGGGAAGAGAACGCTATGGAGGGGGGAGAGAACGCTACGGAGGAGGGAGAGAACGCTACGGAGGGGGAAGAGAACGCTACGGAGGGGGGAGAGAACGCTACGGAGGGGGGAGAGAACGCTACGGAGGGGGAAAAGAACGCTACGGAGGGGGGAGAGAACGCTATGGAGGGGGGAGAGAACGCTATGGAGGAGGGAGAGAACGCTACGGAGGAGGGAGAGAACGCTATGGAGGGGGGGAGAGAACGCTATGGAGGAGGGAGAGAACGCTACGGAGGGGGAAGAGAACGCTACGGAGGGGGGAGAGAACGCTATGGAGGGGGAAGAGAACGCTATGGAGGGGAAAGAGAACGCTACGGAGGGGGGAGAGAACGCTACGGAGGGGGGAGAGAACGCTATGGAGGAGGGAGAGAACGCTATGGAGGGGGGGGAGAACGCTATGGAGGGGGGAGAGAACGCTATGGAGGAGGGAGAGAACGCTATGGAGGGGGGAGAGAACGCTATGGAGGAGGGAGAGAACGCTACGGAGGGGGAAGAGAACGCTTACGGAGGGGGAAGAGAACGCTACGGAGGGGGGAGAGAACGCTACGGAGGGGGGGGGAGAGAACGCTATGGAGGGGGAAGAGAACGCTACGGAGGGGAAAGAGAACGCTACGGAGGGGGGAGAGAACGCTACGGAGGGGGGAGAGAACGCTACGGAGGGGGGAGAGAACGCTACGGAGGGGGGAGAGAACGCTATGGAGGAGGGAGAGAACGTTATGGAGGGGGGAGAGAACGCTATGGAGGAGGGAGAGAACGCTACGGAGGGGGGAGAGAACGCTATGGGGGGGGGGGGGGGGGGGGGGGGGGGGGGAGAACGCTACGGAGGGGGGGAAGAGAACGCTACGGAGGGGGAAGAGAACGCTACGGAGGGGGGAGAGAACGCTACGGAGGGGGGGAGAGAACGCTATGGAGGGGGGAGAGAACGCTATGGAGGGGGGAGAGAATGCTACGGAGGGGGGAGAGAACGCTACGGAGGGGAAAGAGAATGCTACGGAGGGGGGAGAGAACGCTATGGAGGGGGGGGAAGAGAACGCTAGGGAGGGGGGAGAGAACGCTACGGAGGGGGGAGAGAACGCTACGGAGGGGGGGGAGAGAACGCTACGGAGGGGGAAGAGAACGCTATGGAGGGGAAAGAGAACGCTACGGAGGGGGGAGAGAACGCTACGGAGGGGGAAGAGAACGCTATGGAGGGGAAAGAGAACGCTACGGAGGGGGAAGAGAACGCTACGGAGGGGGGAGAGAACGTTATGGAGGGGGGAGAGAGAACGTTATGGAGGGGGGAAAGAGAACGCTACGGAGGGGGGGAGAGAACGCTATGGAGGGGGGAGAGAACGCTACGGAGGGGAAAGAGAATGCTATAGAGGGTGGAGAGAACGCTATGGAGGGGGGAGAGAACGCTACGGAGGGGGGAGAGAACGCTATGGAGGGGAAAGAGAACGCTACGGAGGGGGGAGAGAACGCTATGGAGGGGGGGGGGGGGAGAGAACGCTACGGAGGGGGGAGAGAACGCTACGGAGGGGGGAGAGAACGCTATGGAGGGGAAAGAGAACGCTACGGAGGGGAGAGAGAACGCTATGGAGGGGGGAGAGAACGCTATGGAGGGGGGAGAGAACGCTACGGAGAGGGGGAGAGAACGCTACGGAGGGGGGAGAGAACGCTATGGAGGGGAGAGAGAATGCTACGGAGGGGGAGAGAACGCTACGGAGGGGGGAGAGAACGCTATGGAGGGGGAGAGAACGTTATGGAGGGGAAAGAGAACGCTACGGAGGGGGGAGAGAACGCTATGGAGGGGGGAGAGAACGCTACGGAGGGGAAAGAGAATGCTACGGAGGAGAAAGAGAACGCTATAGAGGGTGGAGAGAACGCTATGGAGGGGGGAGAGAACGCTACGGAGGGGGGAGAGAACGCTACGGAGGGGAAAGAGAATGCTACGGAGGGGGGAGAGAACGCTATGGAGGGGGAGAGAACGCTACGGAGGGGGGAGAGAACGCTATGGAGGGGGGGAGAGAACGCTATGGAGGGGGAAGAGAACGCTATGGAGGGGGGAGAGAACGCTATGGAGGGGGGAGAGAATGCTACGGAGGGGAAGAGAGAACGCTACGGAGGGGGGAGAGAATGCTACGGAGGGTGAAGAGAACGCTACGGAGGGGGGAGAGAACGCTATGGAGGGGGGAGAGAACGCTACGGAGGGGGGAGAGAACGCTATGGAGGGGGGAGAGAACGCTATGGAGGGGGGGGAAGAGAACGCTATGGAGGGGGAAGAGAACGCTATGGAGGGGGGAGAGAATGCTACGGAGGGGGAAGAGAACGCTACGGGGGGAAGAGAACGCTACGGAGGGGGAAGAGAACGCTACGGAGGGGGAAGAGAACGCTACGGAGGGGGAAGAGAACGCTATGGAGGGGGAAGAGAACACTGTGGAAGGTAACAGGCCGGAGGCCTCCAACCATGGAAGGTAACAGGCCGGAGGCCTCCAACCATGGAAGGTAACAGTCTGGAGGCCTCCAACCATGGAAGGTAACAGTCTGGAGGCCTCCAACCATGGAAGGTAACAGTCTGGAGGCCTCCAACCATGGAAGGTAACAGTCTGGAGGCCTCTCCAACCATGGAAGGTAACAGTCTGGAGGCCTCCAACCATGGAAGGTAACAGGCTGGTGGCCTCCAACCATGGAAGGTAACAGGCTGGTGGCCTCCAACCATGGAAGGTAACAGGCTGGTGGCCTCCAACCATGGAAGGCAACAGGCTGGAGGCCTCCAGCAACAAACATCTCCCATACTTCCTGTGATGTTACTCTTCTTACCCTGGACTTCTTATTAGGAGTGTAAGCCTTGGAGTTACTGAAGATCAGCCGGACGTCTCGGGAGAACTCTAGGGGGTCGCTGTAGTTGCTGCCTTCTAATGTGGCCTTCACAGTGCTGAAGTCCATTGGGGTCTCTATGATGTCCTGGTAATCCTGCAGACAAGGACAGGAGAGAACTTAGAGAAACATCAGCAAATTCTTCTACACGGTGCTATGTCACTTTCACAAACTGAAAAAGTCAAGAACTCGCTGAAAAGGCAGCGCTCCCTAGAAAGTCTAATGCGTCCAGCGCTCCCCAGCAAGTCTAATGCGTCCAGCGCTCCCCAGGAAGTCTAATGCGCGCTCCCCAGCAAGTCTAATGCGTCCAGCGCTCCCCAGCAAGTCTAATGCGTCCAGCGCTCCCCAGCAAGTCTAATGCGTCCAGCGCTCCCCAGCATGCGTCCAGCGTCTAAAGTCTAATGGTGCGTCCAGCGCTCCCCAGCAAGTCTAATGCGTCCAGCGCTCCCCAGCAAGTCTAATGCGTCCAGCGCTCCCCAGCAAGTCTAATGCGTCCAGCGCTCCCCAGCAAGTCTAATGCGTCCAGCGCTCCCCAGCAAGTCTAATGCGTCCAGCGCTCCCCAGCAAGTCTAATGCGTCCAGCGCTCCCCAGCAAGTCTAATGCGTCCAGCGCTCCCCAGCAAGTCTAAGCAGCGCTCCCCAGCAAGTCTAATGCGTCCAGCGCTCCCCCAAGTCTAATGCAAGTCTCCCCAGCAAGTCTGCGTCCAGCGCTCCCCAGCAAGTCTAATGCGTGCAGCGCTCCCCAGCTCCCCAGCGGAAGTCTAATGCGTCCAGCGCTCCCCAGCAAGTCTAATGCGTCCAGCGCTCCCCAGCAAGTCTAATGCGTCCAGCGCTCCCCAGCAAGTCTAATGCGTCCAGCGCTCCCCCCCTAATGCGTCCAGCGCTCCCCAGCAAGTCTAATGCGTCCAGCGCTCCCCCAAGTCTAATGCGTCCAGCGCTCCAGCGCTCCCCAGCAAGTCTAATGCGTCCAGCGCTCCCCAGCAAGTCTAATGCGTCCAGCGCTCCCCAGCAAGTCTAATGCGTCCAGCGCTCCCCAGCAAGTCTAATGCGCGTCCCCAGCAAGTCGCTCCCCAGCAAGTCTAATGCGTCCAGCGCTCCCCAGCAAGTCTAATGCCCAGCGCTCCCCAGCAAGTCTAATGCGTCCAGCGCTCCCCAGCAAGTCTAATGCGTCCAGCGCTCCCCAGCAAGTCTAATGCGTCCAGCGCTCCCCAGCAAGTCTAATGCGTCCAGCGCTCCCCAGCAAGTCTAATGCGTCCAGCGCTCCCCAGCAAGTCTAATGCGTCCAGCGCTCCCCAGCAAGTCTAATGCGTCCAGCGCTCCCCAGCAAGTCTAATGCGTCCAGCGCTCCCCAGCAAGTCTAATGCGTCCAGCGCTCCCCAGCAAGTCTAATGCGTCCAGCGCTCCCCAGCAAGTCTAATGCGTCCAGCGCTCCCCAGCAAGTCTAATGCGTCCAGCGCTCCCCAGCAAGTCTAATGCGTCCAGCGCTCCCCAGCAAGTCTAATGCGTCCAGCGCGTCAGCGCTCCCGTCCAGCAAGTCTAATGCGTCCAGCGCTCCCCAGCAAGTCTAATGCGTCCAGCGCTCCCCAGCAAGTCTAATGCGTCCAGCGCTCCCCAGCAAGTCTAATGCGTCCAGCGCTCCCCAGCAAGTCTAATGCGTCCAGCGCTCCCAGCAAGTCTAATGCGTCCAGCGCTCCCCAGCAAGTCTAATGCGTCAGCAGCGCTCCCCCAGCAAGTCTAATGCGTCCAGCGCTCCCCAGCAAGTCTAATGCGTCCAGCGCTCCCCAGCAAGTCTAATGCGTCCAGCGCTCCCCAGCAAGTCTAATGCGTCCAGCGCTCCCCAGCAAGTCTAATGCGTCCAGCGCTCCCCAGCAAGTCTAATGCGTCCAGCGCTCCCCAGCAAGTCTAATGCGTCCAGCGCTCCCCAGCGTCAGCGCTCCCCAGCAAGTCTAATGCGTCCGCTCCCCAGCAAGTCTAATGCGTCCAGCGCTCCCCAGCAAGTCTAATGCGTCCAGCGCTCCCCAGCAAGTCTAATGCGTCCAGCGCTCCCCAGCAAGTCTAATGCGTCCAGCGCTCCCCAGCAAGTCTAATGCGTCCAGCGCTCCCCAGCAAGTCTAATGCGTCCAGCGCTGCTCCAGCGCCCCAGCGCTCCCCAGCAAGTCTAATGCGTCTAATGCGTCCAGCGCTCCCAGCAAGCTAAAGTCTAATGCGTCCAGCGCTCCAGCGCTCCCCAGCAAGTCTAATGCGTCCAGCGCTCCCCAGCAAGTCTAATGCGTCCAGCGCTCCCCCCTAATGCGCAAGTCTAATGCGTCCAGCGCTCCCCAGCAAGTCTAATGCGTCCAGCGCTCCCCAGCAAGTCTAATGCGTCCAGCGCTCCCCAGCAAGTCTAATGCGTCCAGCGCTCCCCAGCAAGTCTAATGCGTCCAGCGCTCCCCAGCAAGTCTCCAGCGCTCCCCAATGCGTCCATGCGTCCAGCGCTCCCCAGCAAGTCTAATGCGTCCAGCGCTCCCCAGCAAGTCTAATGCGTCCAGCGCTCCCCAGCAAAGCGCTTCTAATGCGTCCAGCGCTCCCCAGCAAGTCTAATGCGTCCAGCGCTCCCCAGCAAGTCTAATGCGTCCAGCGCTCCCCAGCAAGTCTAAAGTCCAGCGTCCAGCGCTCCCCAGCGCTCCCCCAGCAAGTCTAATGCGTCCAGCGCTCCCCCAGTCGCTCCCCAGCCCCAGCAAGTCTAATGCGTCCAGCGCTCCCCAGCAAGTCTAATGCGTCCAGCGCTCCCCAGCAAGTCTAATGCGTCCAGCGCTCCCCAGGAAGTCCCTAATGCGTCCAGCGCTCAAGTCCCAGCAAGTCTAATGCGTCCAGCGCTCCCCAGCAAGTCTAATGCGTCCAGCGCTCCCCAGCAAGTCTAATGCGTCCAGCGCTCCCCCAGCGCTCCCCAGCAAGTCTAATGCGTCCAGCGCTCCCCAGCAAGTCTAATGCGTCCAGCGCTCCCCAGCCTAATGCGTCCAAGCGCTCTCCCCAGCAAGTCTAATGCGTCCAGCGCTCCCCAGCAAGTCTAATGCGTCCAGCGCTCCCCAGCAAGTCCAGCGCTCCCCAGCAAGTCTAATGCGTCCAGCGCTCCCCAGGAAGTCTAATGCGTCCAGCGCTCCCAGCGCTCCCCAGCAAGTCTAATGCGTCCAGCGCTCCAGCCCCAGCAAGTCTAAGTCTAATGCGTCCAGCGCTCCCCAGCAAGTCTAATGCGTCCAGCGCTCCCCAGCAAGTCTAATGCGTCCAGCGCTCCCCAGCAAGTCTAAATCCCCAGCAAGTCTAATGCGTCCAGCGCTCCCCCAGCAAGTCTAAGCGTCCCCAGAAGTCTAATGCGTCCAGCGCTCCCCAGGAAGTCTAAAGGAAGCAAAATCCCGTTTCTATTGTAATGAGGATGTCTAATGGTTTCCAGCGTCCCCAGCAAGTCTAATTTTCTCCCTGTGAGAGATCCCTCTTCTTTGTGGTCACTAGGACAGGAAGTATTTATTACGATGTCAAACGTTTCCATTGTAATATAGGTGTCCCTACTGAGATCCTTCTTACTTCCTCTGTGGTCACCAGATCAGGAAGTATTTCTCATCACTCTGTGGTCACCAGGTCAGGAGGTGAGTATTTCTCATCACTCTGTGGTCACCAGGACAGGAGGTGAGTATTTCTCATCACTCTGTGGTCACCAGGTCAAGAGGTGAGTATTTCTCATCACTCTCTGTGGTCACCAGGACAGGAGTTGAGTATTTCTCATCACTCTGTGGTCAACAGGACAGGAGGTGAGTATTTCTCATCACTCTGTGGTCACAAGGACAGGAGGTGAGTATTTCTCATCACTCTGTGGTCACCAGGTCAGGAAGTGAGTATTTCTCATCACTCTGTGGTCACCAGGTCAGGAAGTGAGTATTTCTCATCATTCTGTGGTCACCAGGTCAGGAGGTGAGGAGTATTTCTCATCAGAGCACCAATGGATTGTATTGTAATATAGGTGTCCCTACCGAGATCCTTCTTACTTCCTCTGTGGTCACCAGGTCAGGGAGTATTTCTCATCACTCTGTGGTCACCAGGACAGGAGGTGAGTATTTCTCATCACTCTGTGGTCACCAGGACAGGAGGTATTTCTCATCACTCTGTGGTCACCAGGTCAGGAGGTATTTCTCATCACTCTGTGGTCACCAGGTCAGGTGAGTATTTCTCATCACTCTGTGGTCACCAGGACAGGTGAGTATTTCTCATCACTCTGTGGTCACCAGGTCAGGAGGTGAGTATTTCTCATCACTCTGTGGTCACCAGGTCAGGAGGTATTTCTCATCACTCTGTGGTCACCAGGTCAGGAGGTGAGTATTTCTCATCACTCTGTGGTCACCAGGACAGGAGGTATTTCTCATCACTCTGTGGTCACCAGGTCAGGTGAGTATTTCTCATCACTCTGTGGTCACCAGGTCAGGAGGTGAGTATTTCTCATCACTCTGTGGTCACCAGGTCAGGAGGTATTTCTCATTACTCTGTGGTCACCAGGACAGGAGGTGAGTATTTCTCATCACTCTGTGGTCACCAGGACAGGAGGTGAGTATTTCTCATCACTCTGTGGTCACCAGGTCAGGTGACTATTTCTCATCACTCTGTGGTCACCAGGACAGGAGGTGAGTATTTCTCATCAGAGCACCAATGGATTGTCATGTAATGTGTGTCTGTCTGAGGTCCCTCTTACTTCCTCTGTGGTCACAGTACAAGAAGTGAGCAGGAATCTCCCCAATGGGGACACCAACAACAAAAATGTGACCCCTTTTCCTAAACTCTATACAAAAAAAGTTGTACTTTGGGTCAAGCTTCAAGGAAGTCTGTAATGGTAGAAATATTTTTGCTGCCAAATCCTCACCTTCTGAAAATGCTAGTTTTTCTGGCTGTAACACTGTGACTTGCTGAGCCAGGAGAAGCATGGAGGAAGACATAATCAGTACATATCGGCCCCAGAGTCAGAGCCGGTGAGGCAGTTCCCACCTCATGATAGGGGGGCGCACTTTGGGTGCTACAAGACCTTGTCCCAGCACTGGCTGAAGGCACCAGAATAGGATGGCGGTCAGGCAAATAGCATTTTCAGAAGCAGAGGTTAGTAGGATCATGATCCATTTTCCTCAGGTATTCTCTCTGTGTCAGGCCATCCGCTGCTACTGACCGTTCTGGGCATTTATTTGAGGCAGCTCACCAAATTCCCCGACTATGACCCCATTCACCTCACACCTCCATCCTTCTGCATTGTGACCCGAGATGTCCCTCTGTATTCCCCCCGAAATGACCCCCTCTGCGGACCACCACCACCACCACGAGGGCACTCACTGGGTAGGACACTCGATTGACAGGTTGCCGGAAGGGTTCGGAGTCCTCGCGCTCGTAGATCAGGTCTAGAAGCTCCTTACATTTGTCCTTCCATGAATCGGGATTGGACCGCAGGAGATCCCGCTTGGTGCGGCGCGTCACCTAAGGAATAATGAAGAGGGCTATCAGTTCATTGTGTGCCCCTCCCTCTGTATTACTTCATTGTGTGCCCCTCCCTCTGTATTACTTCATTGTGTGCCCCTCCCTCTGTATTACTTCATTGTGTGCCCCTCCCTCTGTATTACTTCATTGTGTGCCCCTCCCTCTGTATTACTTCATTGTGTGCCCCTCCCTCTGTATTACTTCATTGTGTGCCCCTCCCTCTGTATTACTTCATTGTGTGCCCCTCCCTGTGTATTACTTCATTGTGTGCCCCTCCCTGTGTATTACTTCATTGTGTGCCCCTCCCTCTGTATTAGTCATTGTGTGCCCCTCCCTCTGTATTACTTGATTGTGTGCCCCTCCCTGTGTATTACTTGATTGTGTGCCCCTCCCTGTGTATTACTTGATTGTGTGCCCCTCCCTCTGTATTACTTCATTGTGTGCCCCTCCCTCTGTATTACTTCATTGTGTGCCCCTCCCTCTGTATTACTTCATTGTGTGCCCCTCCCTCTGTATTACTTCATTGTGTGCCCCTCCCTCTGTATTACTTCATTGTGTGCCCCTCCCTGTGTATTACTTCATTGTGTGCCCCTCCCTGTGTATTACTTCATTGTGTGCCCCTCCCTCTGTATTACTTCATTGTGTGCCCCTCCCTGTGTATTACTTCATTGTGTGCCCCTCCCTCTGTATTACTTCATTGTGTGCCCCTCCCTCTGTATTACTTCATTGTGTGCCCCTCCCTCTGTATTACTTCATTGTGTGCCCCTCCCTCTGTATTACTTCATTGTGTGCCCCTCCCTCTGTATTAGTTCATTGTGTGCCCCTCCCTCTGTATTACTTCATTGTGTGCCCCTCCCTCTGTATTACTTCATTGTGTGCCCCTCCCTCTGTATTACTTCATTGTGTGCCCCTCCCTGTGTATTACTTCATTGTGTGCCCCTCCCTCTGTATTAGTTCATTGTGTGCCCCTCCCTCTGTATTACTTCATTGTGTGCCCCTCCCTCTGTATTACTTCATTGTGTGCCCCTCCCTCTGTATTACTTCATTGTGTGCCCCTCCCTCTGTATTACTTCATTGTGTGCCCCTCCCTGTGTATTACTTCATTGTGTGCCCCTCCCTCTGTATTACTTCATTGTGTGCCCCTCCCTCTGTATCAGTTCATTGTGTGCCCCTCCCTCTGTATTAGTTCATTGTGTGCCCCTCCCTCTGTATTACTTCATTGTGTGCCCCTCCCTCTGTATTACTTCATTGTGTGCCCCTCCCTCTGTATTACTTCATTGTGTGCCCCTCCCTCTGTATTAGTTCATTGTGTGCCCCTCCCTCTGTATTACTTCATTGTGTGCCCCTCCCTCTGTATTAGTTCATTGTGTGCCCCTCCCTCTGTATTAGTTCATTGTGTGCCCCTCCCTGTGTATTACTTCATTGTGTGCCCCTCCCTCTGTATTACTTCATTGTGTGCCCCTCCCTGTGTATTAGTTCATTGTGTGCCCCTCCCTCTGTATTAGTTCATTGTGTGCCCCTCCCTGTGTATTACTTCATTGTGTGCCCCTCCCTCTGTATTAGTTCATTGTGTGCCCCTCCCTCTGTATTAGTTCATTGTGTGCCCCTCCCTGTGTATGAGGAGCTCAGCGGGGGCTTGTAGAGGGACGCAGCGGTGCTATGACCGGTGAGCAGTCAGGGGACGGTTGTCATGGCACTACCCCTCACCCCACCCCCACCCGCTGGCTACAGAAAATACAGGCCGGATGCAAAGACCTGAGAGGGTCCATTTCTAGAGAGATCAGTGAGAACGCCGGAGATCCACCCCGCCCCGCCCCGCCCCGCCCTGCCCCGCCCCGCCCCGCCGAACCCACCATTACCAGCAACCCTAAAATCCACTGTTATGGCTGCCATGTTTTCAATCCCCCCTCTGGCCTTCCCTTCAGTCTTGCACAGGTGTACCGGCTCCTCCCCTTCAGTCTTCCACAGGTGTACTGGCTCCTCCCCTTCAGTCTTGTACAGGTGTACCGGCTCCTCCCCTTCAGTCTTGTACAGGTGTACTGTCTCCTCCCCCTCAGTCTTGCACAGGTGTACTGTCTCCTCCCCCTCAGTCTTGCACAGGTGTATTGGCTCCTCCCCCTCAGTCTTGCACAGGTGTACTGGCTCCTCCCCCTCAGTCTTGCACAGGTGTACTGGCTCCTCCTCTGGACTGGAATGGCTTCCTCTGATGTCACTGCACACTGGGAGTGTCTCACAATGTGCATTAGAAGCTGCAGCCAGTCAGATAGAGCTCCGCCTCATTTCCTGGCTGGAGGACGTCCAGTATCATCTAGTACTTTTATCCCGAGCCGGACTTTCCCTGGCCCCGCCCCTTTCAGATCTTTCAATCATGGAGGCTCAACATCACATGTGGGCATTACCTATGCAAATACAGTGTGCCTGGGAACACCCACTCCTCAATAATGATATCATTATAGCTGGGGGAGGGGAGGTGGGTGATTATAGCTGGGGGTGCGGAGGTGGGTGATTATAGCTGGGGGTGCGGAGGTGGGTGATTATAGCTGGGGGTGCGGAGGTGGGTGATTATAGCTGGGGGGTGGGGAGATGGGTGATTATAGCTGGGGAGGTGGGTGATTATAGCTGGGGGTGGGGAGGTGGGTGATTATAGCTGGGGAGGTGGGTGATTATAGCTGGGGGTGGGGAGGTGGGTGATTATAGCTGGGGGTGGGGAGGTGGGTGATTATAGCTGGGGAGGTGGGTGGAGGGGTGGGTATTAAGCTTGGGGGTGGGTAGTTATAGCTCGTGGGGGTAGTCTATAGCTGGGGGGGGGGGGGTCAACCACAGAAACCCAGAAGGAAATGCGCTCTCACCAGGGGTTTACTGACTGCCCGCCCTGTAGAAGTCCCCGGTCCATCCGATTCCATTTCCACAGCAGCTGCCTGCTAAAGGAGGTGAAGACAAAATGTGTAACACAGAGGAGACAGAGGAAGTCGAATTGACTGGATACTACAGAACACATGTTACACCTCCTCCTCCCTCCTCGCTCAATTCCCCAGCCATCCTCAGATTTGATTTGATTGTAGATCTCTAAGATATTCTGAGCAATCGTCGTCCCTGAAATCACACAGCACACAGACGGTCATCAAAAGGTGGAAAATAATTCCCCATATACTTTGTCACTTTCCCTTCTGTCATTTCTGGCAGCACAGCGAGCTAATGGTCAGCACTCCATCCCCTGGCAGTACCTCAGGTCGTTGGTTTGAGAATCCCCAACCACAGCACCTCCTGCCTGGAGTTTGCATGTTCATCACCCTGTGCCTCAGCGTCGGGTTTGCCTCCGCGTACTCCAGTTCCTCACATTCTCAAAAGACATGCATCGGGCAGGTGAACTGTCTCCTATCTACATTGTCCCCAGTATGTGTATGTACAGAATGTGGAGTTGGGGACCTTATGAATGTAGGCTCCTCAGGGCGAGGGGCCTGATGTGAAGGTACAATATATATTGAAAGTGCGACGTAAAACTGACGGCGCTATATAAGTACCTTAAATAATTTCCAAGAATGGCACAGAGGTGGAATGTGTAATTTCCCGAGCAGGACAGGGGGGTGCCACGCTCCCAGCGATACCCCTCCCCAGTCACATACCATCACCTGTGCATTCCAATCTTGAGTCGCGCGATGTTTCAGTGGAAGAGCCATGCAAGCTTCAGGCTCTGGTATGTCACCGCCCATATCGACACACCTACTGAGGGGCCCGGGCCCACAGAGTGGGTACCACTAGGGGGGGGAAAAGGCCCCCCTTATATATAGAAGACTTGGGAAAAAAACCACAAACCCCCCCCACATTCACACCCATCCGACTACCCCTTTCCCCTTGCATGATGGGAAAATGCAGTTTGGGTTTCCCTCGGCGGCCCACATTTTGGGAATGACATAGGCCCCTGCATTTTGTAACGCCTCCCCAAAGCCATGGCACATCGGGGTGATCGGGCGAGGACCTGGAAAACGTTATAGAACACCAATTTCCAAAAATTTTAAACCCCTTCCAGTCCGGAAAACTTTTCCCCCCCTTTCCCGTCCGGGGAAAACTTTCCCCCCCCCTTTCCCGTCCCCGGCACTTCCCCCCCCCTTTCCCGTCCCCGACACTTTCCCCCCCCTTTCCCTTTCCCGGGCCGGAACCCCTTTTTCCCCCCCCCCTTCCCGTCCAGACAAACCCCCCCCCCTTCCAGTCCGGACACCCTTTCCCCCCCTTCCAGTTTCCGACACTTCCCCCCCCCCTTTCCAGTCCAGACACTTTCCCCCCCCCTTCCAGTCCCGGAAAACTTCCCCCCCCCCTTCCATCCGGACACTTTTTCCCCCCCTTTCCCGGGCCGGACAAATTTCAACCCCCCCTTTCCCTCCGGACACTTTCCCCCCCTTCCAGTCCGGGCACTTTTCCCCCCCCCCTTTCCCGTCCGGACAAAAGCCCCCCCCTTCCCCTCCCCGGAAAAAACTTTTCCCAAAACCCCCCCCCCCTTTCCCGTCCGGGGCACTTCCCCCCCTTCCATCCCCCCACCTTTTCCCCCCCCTTACCAAGGGGGGGGGGCACTTTTTCCCCCCCCTTCCCCTCCGGGCATTTCCCCCCTTCCAGTCCGGACAACCCCCCCCCCTTCCCCGTCCAAAAATTTTTAACCCCTTCCCCGTCCGGACACCCCCCCCCCTTCCAGTCCGGGCACTTTCAAAACCCCCCCCCCCCCCTTTTCCCGTCCACACTCCCCCCCCTTCCAGCGCCACTTTCCCCCCCTTCCAGTAGGGACACTCCCCCTCCCCTGCCTCCTTCCAGTCCGGACACTTCCCCCACTTCCAGTCCGGACACTTTTCCCCCTTCCAGTCCGGACACTTTTCCCCCCCTTCCAGTCCGGACACTTTCCGCCCCCTTCATCCGGACACTTTCCCCCCCTCCAGCCGGCACACTTTCCCCCCCGTTCCAGTCCGGACACCCCCCCCCCCCTTCCAGTCCGACATACCCCCCCCCCCCTTCCAGTCCAGTCACACCCCCCTTCCAGCCGGACACTTTCCCCCCCTCCAGTCCATACACCCCCCCCCCATCCAGCCCGGACACTTTCCCCCCCTGCCAGTCCCAGACACCCCCCCCCTTCCAGTCTGGACACTTTCCAGCCCCTTCCAGTCCGGACACGACCCACCCTCGTCCAGTTCCGGACACCCTCACCCCCTTCACAGTCCGGCCGTCTTTCCCCCCCTTCAGTCCAACACTTTCCCCCCCCATCCAGCCAGACACTTTCCCCCCCTTGCGCAGTCCAGACACCCCCCCCCTTCCAGTCCCGTACACTTTCCCCCCTTCAGTCCCAGACACCCCCCTTCCACCAGCCCGGACACTTTCCCCCCCTTCCATCCAGACACCCCCCCCCCCTTCCAGCCCGGACCACTTTCCCCCCCTTCCATCCGAACACTTCCTCCCCCTCCAGTCCGGACGCTTTCCCCCCCTTCCAGTCCGACACTTCCTCCACCTTCCAGTCCGGACACTTCCTCCCCCCTTCAGTCAGGACTCCCCCCCCCCCCCATCCCAGTCCGACACCCCCCCCCCTTCCCAGTCCCTTCAGATCACCCCACCCCTTCCCCAGTCCCACCACTTCCCCCGACCATCCAGTCCGAACACTTTCCCCCCCTTCCAGTCCGACACGCCCCACCCCCCTCCAGGTCACGGACACTTTCCCCCCCCCCTCTTCCCAGTCCGGACACTTTCACACCTCCTTCCAGTCCGGACAGACCCCCCCCCCTTCCAATCCTGACACCCCCCCCCTTCCAGTCAGGACACTTTTTTCTCACCTCCCCCCCCTTCCAGTCCGGACACTCCTTCCCTTCCATCCGTACACTTTCCCCCCTTCCAGTCCGGACGACTTTCCCCCTTCCAGTCTGACACACCACCCCACCCTTCAGCTCCGGACACCCCCCCCCGCCCTTCGCAGTCCGGACTCTCCCCCCTTCCAGCCCGGACACGTCCCCCCTTCCATACGGACACTTCCCCCCTTCCCATCCGACACTTTCCCCCCCTTGCCAGTCCGACACTTCCACCCCTTCCCGTCCGGAAAACCCTTTTTCCCCCCCCAGGCCGGAAAAATTTTCCCCCCCTTCCAGTCCCCGACACTTTTTTCCCCCCCCCTTTCCCTTCCAAAGGGGGGCACTTTTCCCCCCCCTTCCAGTCCCCGAAAAAACCCCCCCCCCCTTCCACCCGGACACTTTCCCCCCTTCCCGTCCCCGGAAAACTTTTCCCCCCCCCTTTCCCGTCCAGACAAACCCCCCCCCTTCCATCCACACTTTCCCCCCCCTTTCCCGTTGGGCCCCTTTCCCCCCTTCCATCCGGACAAATTTCCCCCCCTTCCAGGGCCCCGGGCCTTTCCCCCCCTTTCCCGTCCAGAAAACCCCCCCCCTTTCCCCCCGTCCGGGGCAAATTTCCCCCTTCCATTCCGGACCCCTTTCCCCCCTTTCCCGTCCGGACACTTTCCCCCCCCCTTCCCCGTCCGGACAAATTTCCCCCCCCCCTTCCAGTCCCCCGGGCACCTTTCCCCCCTTAGGGACACTCCCCCCCCCCCCCCCTCCCCTCTCCCCCCCCCCCTCCTCCCCCCCCCCCCCCCCCCCCCGCCCACCCCCCTCCCCCAAGTTGGGTGGTGGGGGGCGGACACGTGGTCGGCCCACTTCCAGTCCGGACCTCTCCCCCCCCCCTCTCTCCACGCCTCCGCGCACCACTTGCCCCACTCTCTTCCGCCTCCTTCCACTCCCAGCCTGACCACCTGACTTCCCCACCCTTCCTGATCCGGACTCTCACTTACCCCTCCGCCATCCCCTAGACACCCCCCTCCTCCCCATCCTCCAGCCTCCCGTCCCCCTTCGCCACACCCCTCTATACACCAACAGTCCCTCGGCTACTCCCCCCCTTCCAGGTGACGGACACTTCCCCCCTTCTCCACCCTCCGGACACGCTCCCACCCCCCCCCCCTCTCTCCAGTCCCCACCCACCGCCCTCCCCACGCCTCAGTGGCCGGACACTTTCCCCCCCTTGCCAGCCGGACAACCCTTCCCCTGCCCAGCCACCCCACTCCGGACATTTCACACACCACCGTGTCCCATCCGGACACGGGGCCCACAATACAGTCGGGACACTATCGGAGTACACCTCCCTCCCCCCCTTCCAGTCCGGACATAACGCCCCCCTGTATCCCAGATTGTGGGAACACTTGGTCACACAGTGTCAATTTAATATGAGACAAATTTCTGCGCAGTGCTCATTACTGGCTGGTCACTCCCCCTCCCCTCAGTCCGGACACACTATCACCAGCAGCAGCCAACTCAGAGTAACCCACGCGAGGCACATGCCTCCCAGGCTCCCCCTTCCGGTAACTCAGCCCAGCTCTGCTGGTCCCCTACAGGTACACAGCCCCGTAAAAAACCAACTCAAGGGGCCCCCCCCGCACAGCACATCCCGACACTTGTCGACCTGTCCGGGCAACACACATTCCAGCTTCCGACACATAAAACCTCCCCAGTCCCTCTCTCCAGTCCGGTACACCCCCCCCCCCCCCCCACACCCCCCCTCTGAACCCCCCACCTTTCCAGTCCCCCCCACACGCCAACCCCCTTCGAACCGACACCATCATCATCACACCCCCCACCTCCCACACCTGACACTTAACAACCTACCCCCCCCTTCCAGTCCGGGCCTCTTTCCCCCCCCCTTCCAGACTGGACACTTCCGCCCCCCCCCTGCCTCCAGTCCAGAAACACCCCCAACCCCTACTTCCAGCCCCATATGATGACACCCCACTTTTCCACACCTTTCCCCCCTTCCAGTCCAGACGACTTGCCCCCCACTTCCCCCGACAAAACTTTCCCCCCCCTTCCCAGTTCCGAACACATTCACCCCCCCCCCCCCTTCCCATCCGGACACCCTCAAAAACACTACCCACCCCCCCCATAACCCAGTCCCAGGACACTTCCCCCCCCTTCCGAGTCCGTAACACTAAACCCCCCCTTTCCAGTCACCGACACACCCTCCTCCCCCCTTCCAGTCACGCTACACTTTCCCCCCCCTTCCAGTCCGGACACTCTTTCCC